CGGCATTGCGCCCGACGTGCTGCAGGTCCGGAAGCGCCAGCACGGCACTGACCGTCTTGACGGCGTGCTTGAGCTGCGCCCTGTTCTCGGACGTGAGCGCCTTGGTGGTGGCCTGGTGCGCCTTGGCAAGACGCTCGAGCATGTGCACGTGGTCGTGGCTCGCGGCTGCAACCGCCGCTGCTGGGGGAAGACGCAGCGTCTCGCGCAATGCGCGATGCGGGAATGGAAGCGCCAGCAGCGCGTCCACCATCAGCCCGGTCACTAGGTCCGCGCGGAAGAACGGCGACTCGAGAATCGTCTTCTCCCTCTCCTTGCCCGCCACGCCTTCGACTTGCGCATCTTTGGCAGCTTTTGTTGTCTTCGTGTGCTTTCCGTTCGTAGGCGCGGTCTCGGCAGTCCCTGAAGCCTTTCCAGTCGCTTCAGCCGAAGTGTGCGGCACCTCGCTATCCTCTGCCGGCGGGTCCGAGCTGGGTACCGCGTCTTGCTTTGCGTCCGACCGCACGCGCGCCTTGGCACCGGAAAGCTGCTCGCGGATCTCGGGCTGGTTCTCGTCGAGCTCGATGCTGGCCGTCAAGTCGGCCACGGCGCCGCTGAGGTAGTTGGACTCAGAGCGCGACTTGAGCGCGGCGAGGCGCAGATTGATGTGGCCGCGCAAGTTGTGAGCGTCGATGCGGAGCGAGATGTTGCGCTCGCCGTCGCGCGTGCTGAGGATGCGCAGCGCTGAGCTGATCAGGTCTTTGACGCTTCGAATGGCAGCCTCCTCGTGCGATTCATCCTCGACATCCCTTATCTTCTGTGTGGGGTCGTAGCGCTGACGAGCGCGTTGGATGAGGCGCTCCGGTTTGGTGTCCGGATTGAGCGCCTTGGAGAGGACGACGGTGATCTCCTTGCCGTCTTCCGAGACGCGCATGCCCAGAGACTGGCGGGTGCGCAGGTCGTCGAGGCAGGCCGCACGAAACTGTCGACCAGCCTGGATCAAGTGCGCCTCTTCGAATTGTGGAAGCGGCGACGACGATGGGGCAATGCTGGTAGATCCGATCCTTTGATTCCAGAATGACGAGGTGGACGTGGCGGCGCTGGCGGCACTCGGAGGGGGTGCTGGGATATGGCGGGGCTTGGCAGCATGGATGGAAGCCAGCTCGACGAGCTGATCCTGTGCGAGGAGTTGCACGAGCTCGAGATCCGCTTCGGTGCCGAGGATGAAGCGGTGCTCGAAGCGAGAGCATGCATCCGTGTATGCTGTCTTGGTGAGCTCGAGCGAGCGCTTGAGTTCGACGTTCCACTGGTAGTTGCCCGACACCTTGGCTCGCGGGTTCCAGTCCGGATCGCCAGCGAGTAGGCCAGCATTCTGCCTCTGCTCTGCGATGTAGTCGTCGATATCGTTGCGATAATAATGAAACTCGGTGAAGGGCGGAGGCGGGGCTAGACGCTCAAAGTCGGATGCGAGGTGGCTGAGCGCATCTTGAGCCTTGTCGTTGCCTCGTGGGCGGGCAGCGTGGTAGTGATGGAGCAACGAGATGAAGTGGCCGAGTGCGCGGTCACGTACGTCGGATCCACGTTCGAGAACGAGTGCTTCCACTTCATGCTCCTCCTGAAGCTCGCCGATGGAGGCGGGCGAGTAGCCCTCCTGGACGGACTCGGTGACGTGCCAGTAGATGAATGGCTCGAGACCTTTCTGAAGCTCAGAAAAGATGGCCGCCTTGGCGCATTTGCTGTATACACTCTGCATGGTGTCGAATGTCTGAGCAATGGAAGGGATGGGGACAGGGACATGCCTCTTATAGTTGATGAAGAAGAAGAAGAAGCGCAAGGCCGAAATGGCCGACTGTGCTGCGCGTTCTCACCCTCTTGACCCCGCTTGACCAGGATGGTTGCGATGCGCCAGTCTGAGCTGTGTCGAGCACCCGAACGGCGCGAGGCGAGGTGATGAGGAGAATGACAGGTGGTTGGTTCCTTTCATTTCGCCCTTGACGAAGCGAGCCGCGGTGCGCTGCGCTGCCGTGCATAAACCCTTTCTTCCTCCTCCACTCTCGCCAGCAGCTTGCAACCAACACTTTTTGCGCAGCCTCGGTGCGCAGCGCCAATTTAACCTCATGGTGCCGCGCTTTAGTTTCAAAGTGTTAGGTCGAAGCCATCTTACGGCGGCGACCAGCGTCACGTGAACTCTACTCTGGAAGCAGGCGCTGGGACTCGCGTGAAGGGTAGCAGCGAGGCGTTGGGTTTGGGCGGGTCGGCTGTTGCACCTTTTGGGCGGCAGCGCGCAAAGGAGAGCAACACTTGGCAGCTGCCGAAACATTCACACTTCGACAGAGCTGCTGCTGCAGTGTCGACAGCTCGGGCTGAGCCTCTCTCCTCTCGTCGGCCTGGTTGCAATCACGCATCCTTCCTCTTCTGCACGACCACGGATCATCAGAGCTACACTGGGCTGCTAGGAGTCGCAACCTCACCTCACCGTATCAATACTTGCCGTCCGTTCGTCTTGCCACCCCATCTCTGTCACCTTTGCCAGCAACCCGGAGCCGTCCAACATCCTCGCATCTGTGCCCCACGTGCACCAGCCTGCATTTCCGACTCGCAGCGGCCCGCCTCCATACTAAATCACTACGCTCGAAGCACGGTCGCCGCACCAATCCCCAGCATACCTTCACCGTCGCAGCGACGCAATGAACGCATACAACAGCGGCTCGACACTATCGGATGCGCCGCCCGGCCAGGGCCAGATCCAGCAGCTCCCCGGCCGGCCCGTCATCGATCTCAAGAAGAAGCTGGTCGTCGTCGGCGACGGTGGCTGCGGCAAGACGTGTCTGTTGATAGTCTACTCGCAGAACCGCTTTCCCGAAGAGTACGTGCCCACCGTCTTTGAAAACTACGTCCCCATCATCCAGTTCGAGGGCAAGACGATCGAGCTCGCGCTGTGGGATACCGCCGGCCAGGAAGAGTACGACCGTCTGCGTCCGCTCTCGTATCCAGAGTCGGACGTCATCCTCATCTGCTTTGCCGTCGACTTCCCCACCAGCCTCGCCAATGTGCAGGACAAGTGGTTCCCGGAGATCAACCACTTTTGCGAAGGCGTACCCATCTTGCTCGTGGGTCTCAAGACGGATCTGCGCAAGGACCCCAACAGCCTCGCCATGCTGCAAGCACAGGGCATCAAGCCTGTCTCCCCAGCACAGGGCCAGCAGGTCGCCGACGAGATCGGAGCTGCAAAGTACGTAGAGTGCTCGGCAAAGACAAAAGACGGCGTGCAGAACGTCTTTGATACCGCCATCCGCGAGGCGTGTCGCAAGAAGGGCTGGGCAAGAAGAGCCGCAGGAGCCACAGGTGGTGGCGCCAAGAAAAAGTGCGTCCTCCTATAGCCTAGTCACCGCTGCTTCTTTGGCCTCTTTCCCGTCCGCCGTGACCGGTATACAGAGCAGCGTGGCAATCGCTTCGGTGCACGCTCGCCTCTGACTGGTGCGGCTCGACTTGCATGCTTCCGTTCCGCCCCCTTCCCTTTCCCATGCGCATCCCTCACCGCCCGCATCGCATCTATCTCTCGTGATCCTCGTCACTTTTTCTCGACTCGCTCCTCCGCTGCTGTACATATACATCGTGCTCGCCGTGCGCATATCCATCTGCATTACACGCCTCTATTCGGTGCGGATCGCAAGATTTAGTCGTCCGAGTGACAATGCGTGCAGGGTCAATAGTAGCCCACTGTGTGCAGGATAGCATGCGGGTAGTTTTGTTGGTGTCGTTCCAAGATGCCGTCCATTTCGGTATCGATGTCTTGCGAGCCCGCGATCTAGCAGTACGCGCCATTACAAGGGCATTGTCAGTAACTGTCTTCATAACATTGCACAATTCAAGCTTCGAGTGCGAACTGGGTTCAGACTTACTGCATTTGCCAGGTCGAGGATGGCCTTTCCGGCGGCGACTGCTTCCTCGTGATTGTCCTTGATCTCGACGTTGATGACATGCACTGGGCGATTGAGCTCTCCGCCTCGATTGAACAGATCCTCGCACACTGCGTCGAAGCATCTTTCCTCGCACGTAATGACGATATCTGCGGTGAACTTGGTCTCTTGCCATCTCTCGGGTGCTCTTTTGACGTCCTTGTTCCTGTTGAGCATGGTCATCAATCCATTCGCCCAGTACAGCCGTGGATCTTTGCTGTTGAGATCGTCGATGATGTCGGTATACGCTGTTCCGAAAGGATAGATATTGGGCAGGTTGATCTTTGGGCCGGGCAGACGCACGGCCGAACCGGTGCCGGCAGACGTCACGTTGAAGCCCGACTTGGCCAGCAGCGAGTGGGCCGCCATGGAGCGGTTCTGGTTCGACGCACATACGACGCAAAACATGATCGAACTGTCCGGCACCGCGCCGGGAACAACACCGTTCACACCTGTAGCATCGATCGCGTTACCGTCAGGCGGTGTAGAGGTCGAGGGACCAGGTGGATACGGTGGTGTCGTCGAGGACGAGGCCCCTGGATACGATATTGTCGACATGCCGCAGCTTGCCCTCGCAGATCAGAGGTATCGCTTTAGCTGGTTGTCAAGAGAGTTCGATGCGCTGGTCGTCTTCCGGTGTGTGATGGCGCAGGTGAGTCGGACGATGGTGGAGTAGGTGCGTAGAGTCGGCCAGGTGGGTGAGAGTCAAGATGCAGATGCGAAGGTCCGGTCGCAGTCGCAACCTGTGCATCTGTCAATCCTACTCACGAGTGGAGATTTCGCCTTGGCCACACATCGTCCACGGCTAGCTCTAACAATTTCCACTCAAAAAATTCGACGGGTGTGCCGAAGCTCGGATGCTTGGGTACGCGGACCATCACACCGAGGCTGCCATTTGAGCAGTAGCCATGTCGCGATCCACCTGCGACTGAGCCATGGACACTGACTGAGACGGCTCACCCGAGACTGAGGGGCGGATGAAATGGCGGGTAGAAAAGCCCTGGCCATCGCATCCAGTCGTGTTTCTTCCTGCACTCAATATGACCACCATCTTCAGAGCCGACCATGCCGCGACCGCGCACGTGCTATTGTTCCCGCTGCGGGGATCTCGGTGAATCTGTCTCGAAGGACACCTGGCGCCACCATACATTGCTGGACCTTCTGCCGGAGCCCAAAACCTACATGCAATACGAGGCACGTCTGCGAAAAGAAGTCGATAATTTGGAGGAAGAAGCAGCAGAGTACTATGCCCGCATTGCTGACCACATTCGCTCCACCGAAACCGAGAAGGAGCTCGTTTCGAAGGGCGTGCAGACAGAGCAACGCTCCGGCGAGGCGGACAAGATTGGATCGCCACCGGCATCCAAGAAAAGGAAGACGGACGATGGCGAACAGAGCGAGTCCAAGCCTGACGATGCTCAAGCAACAGACGGAAAGACGGCGTCGACATCGTCTTCGCTGGTGACGAGCGAAGCCAGACGAGCGGCGCTCCCGACGCGGAAGTGCATGTCGATCGTCCCAGTCGATGACTCGCCCTGAGTGCAACTCACTTTTCGCTTCGGCACCACACATGCCCATGACCGCACCCACGTTGATCCCATCCTACTCGTCGCCTAGTCACACTTGCAGACCTGCTGTCTTGCTCTGAATGTATGCTTGCGCAATGCCATTGATCGTCGCAATGTTACGATTCCATCTACTGTGCATCCTGCGCATCTTGCATGCTCGCGTCTGCTTGCGCGGGCACGGTCTCGTCGACCTTGACTCGCTTTGTTTCGGGCTGCTCTTGGTCAGCAGCCTCGTCTTGCGGCTGCGCACGCTTTGCTCCCTGGGCCGCTTGCTCGTGATCTGCATCGGCGTGCTTTTGCGACTCGAGCGCGGCCAGATACTCTGCGCGCATCTGGACAGCCTGGGCCTCGCCAAAGACGCGGATGGCATGCAGGATGAAGCCAGCGGTGCTGCTGGTGGTCATCTCGGGATGCGTTCGACCGGGCAATACCTGGTACTTGCGCAGCCACGGTTCGGTCACGCTGATGTTGATGAACTCCTCGTCCGACCGCAGCGTGGCATGCGCTTCGACCAGTGGCTGAACATACGGGCTGTGAACCACGATGCTGGCCGACCCGCCCAGATGCGGCTTGAGACGGTTCAGGATGCTGACCGGATCGTAGTGGCATGCGATCAGCACGGCGTCAAAGTCGCCCGCAAAGAAGTCGGTGCGCACACGGTCCACCTCGCGAAAGTTGGCCTGGCGCTTGCGTGCGCGTGACTTGTCCGCCTTACCTGCACGAGCCCCACCCTCGCCCGCGGTGCTCGACACGTCCTGCTGCGAAAACACAGGCGCATAGTCACGCTCCGTCGCAGCCCAGTGCACCACCTTGAGCACGTTCCTCGTGACCTCGGGCGCAAAGTTGAAGTACGGCAGAATGTCGAATGCCGGTGGCGACTCGGCATCGTTGATCGCCACCACCGTCCCGTCTCCACCGATCCTCTCGAGCACCGAGCCGACAAGAAGACCCGAGACACCGTCGACGACAAGGTAGCGTCCACCGGGACGAACGCTGCCGAACGAGAGCATCTGGCTGAGCGCATCGCGGCGAATGTAGCGGATCTTGTCGGCGGACTTTTCGAACCAAAAGTCACACACATTGCCAAAGTCCGGCTGGAGCGGCGTGAAAAGCTTGAGATGCTTCTGCTCCTTGCGCGCCACATACTTGGCCTGCGAGTAGACGGTGCGGTTGGCAAACGATTCCGACCCAGCCAGCTGCTGCTCGATGATCTCGCGGCCCGAAAGACCCTGTTTCTTGAGCTCCTGGATGTCGACGTACGTTAACTTTTGCGCGGACCCGTCGTCGTTGATATGCTCGTTGGTCGCCTTCGTCTCCACCGCCTCGCTTGCCTCGGTCTCCAGGTCGCCCAGCGTGCGGTTCACCACGAGCTTCAGCGACCCAGTGGGGGCTGCGTTGGCGCCTGCCTTGCCCTTCTTCTGCCCGTTCGACTGCGCTGCCCCTTCAGCCACTGCTGCTGCAGATGGATCGGCGTGGATCTCGTAGGTGAAGCCATACGGCATGCCGATGAGGTCGTCCGCACGGAAGCTGCCGAACTTGCCCAGGCTCACCTGCTTGCCCGGCACGATCTCGGCGGCCTTGGTGCGGCCCGAAGGCATCTTGAGGATGACCGTCGAGTTGGACTCGATGAAGTGCAGACGTCTGCGCAGCTGCTCCGACGTTAGACGTGCAGGGTGGGAGTGGCGGCCACGGTGGTGAGCAGCTGGCTTGCTGTGGTTTGGCTTGGGCTTGGAGGTGCTCGGGCCAGCCTCGACTGGGGCACCGGTGCTTGCCACTGCATCCGCAGCGCTTGTCTCTGATGTCTCGTGAGACATGGTTGTGCCTTATTTGGGCTCTGCGATCGCTCCCGTTTGAAGACGTAGGGTCGGTAGCGGTAAGCAAGAGTCGACCGGATGGGATGGGAGCAGGAAGAAAGCGTCGGCAACACAACCGATTCCAAATGTCAAAAAAAGTCTGCAGCGAACCGGGGAATTTGTGGGAAATTGTTAGAGTTTCGACTTGGGACCTCCACCCCGCGGCACTCGCGTCTTTAGCGGTGGGCGGCGGCAAGCCCGGCTCAAAAGCACAGGCACGGCCCGGACCTCGTTTCGACAGCTTGCTTCCGCTCCATTTGCACGGCTGGTCAACATTCATCTCAGACACGACAGAATAATGGAGGCACAATCAGACCTTCCATCGGTCGCCTACGACAAAGAGGCGGTGTATACGGCGCTCACCGACTTTGACGAGTCGGATCCCGAGTTCCAGGCGGGGATCCAGACCATCATCGGGCCCATGCAGTCGTCGGGCGTCGCACCGACGCAGATCGAAGAGACCAAGAAGCGCGCCAAAGTGTTCTTCTGGTCGCAAAAGACTGGCAACCAGGTCGACTATGCCGACTACACTGCGTGGCTGGCGAACAAGTCCACAGCCGCTTCTCAGATCAACGGCGCCACCACGGAAGAGTTTGCTGAACCCACCAGTGGAACAACAGAAGCGGCGGCAGTAGAGGAAGCAAAGGCTACGGATAAGGAACCGTATCCGGCGTCGTTCGATGCCATCGTCGAACTCATCACTACGGGCAAGACCGACCAGATCCCCGGTATTCGCGATATCCCACTCAAGATCAACGAGGAACCACCAACGCAGCCCACAATGGACCGGCCGCTTAAGCCCTGGGAGAAAGCAGGTGTCTCGACCGACGAGATTCCATCCACGACAGCGACATCAAACGATGCAGAGGCAACACAATACATCGGGCATGCTTCATCGTGACCGCCTCGAGTCGAGGCATTGTACAAAGCAAATAAACAGCAACCTTTCAGAAGTCGACGGTATCGGGTACATAGTAGGACTGCGAGGTTCATTTGTCCTTTGGCTTGCGAGTGAAGAAGCTGTTGAGGCTCTGCTGGCCCTTCTTTGCCGGAGTGGGTGTTGCGCCGGATGCCTTTTTGGCCGCCGCGCTGTTTGCCGGTGTGGACTTGGCCGAGGTGGGTGCAGGGGCCGAAGGGGCAGGACTGGCCGAGGCGGAAGTTGAAGTTGATCTCGACTCTGCGGCTGACTTCTGCTTTGCGCTGCTGGCTGCTGCGCGCTTGGAGCCGGTGACGACAGGTGCATCCGACTCTTCGGACGAATACGACTCGTACTCGTCGACGGTCTTGGTGACCGTGTAGCCGCGCTCGTCCTTGCTGCGCACCTTCTTGGTGCCGATCTTGCGCTTCTTGCGCACGCGCCGCTTGGCCGCCACCGGCGCATCCGAGCCATTCATCGTTTCCGTCACTGTAGTCGAGGCCATTTCCACGTCGGGATCCGCATCCTTGGCCTGCCCCGTTGAAGCGTTGCGCGAGGAAGCAGAGCCGCTGGCTTCGACCACTTGCACCTCGTCGTCGTCGGTGTCCATCATGGCCTCGAGCTGCTTGCGCTGCGCCGCTGCTTGTGATTTGGTCTGCGTGCGCGCATCGGCCCGCTTGCCGGAACCTCTCGGCGCCGCCATCTCGACATCCTCGTCCTCGTCGTCCGCCTGATCATCGGCGTACCCGAGCTTTTCTGGCTTGTCATCGTCCTCGTCGTCCTCGTCGTCGATGGCGATGGCCCGAAGCCGACTTCCTCCGTCCTCGTCATCTTCATCCTCGTCATCGCTGCCGAGGAGCGCTTTCCGCGCAGACGCGCGCTTGCTCTTGCTCGCGATGCCTGTGCTTGCAGCCGCTTCCTTCTTGACAGGTGCTGGCTTGGACTCGGCTTCTTTGGGCTTGGCTCGGCTCCAATCCAGACCGCTCTTCTTTCCACCCGAAGCTGCCGCGCTCGGCGCAGCCTTGGCCGCAGCTGCCGACGGCTTTGCATCTTGCGCCGACGTCTCGGACTTGACTGCCGCTGCAGTGGACGATTTTGCCTCGGTCTTGACCTGCAGCGCGGGGGCACTTGGTGCGCCCAAACTCGGGATGGCTTTCGACGGGTCGTAGTTGTCCTTGATGGAGGGATTGATCACCACACCAAGATCCGCGCCTCGGTTGGTCTGCTGCCAGACATCAGTGTACCTTTGCTGGGAGTGCAGCTCGTGCTGGATAGCTGTGAGCTGGGTGGCATCACGAAGGCGTCCGGGCGACACAGAGTAGACATGGCATGACGTCAGCTCGCCAAAGCTCGCCTTGGCCTCGTCGAGGTTGTCAGCAGAGACGAGGCGGATGAGCTGGCTGGATTCACCATCTGCGGCCTGGCGGCGGGCGATGCGCTGATCGAGATAGTTGCGTGGCGGATTCGACGATAAAGATGCCGCTGTGGATGAGGACGCCTCGGGCTGAGCATCCTTGTCATCCGCATCCTTGGCCACGGCTGCGTGCTTGGATCGGCCAATGAGGACGTAGGTGGCGTCGAGCTCGGTCTTTTCGCTGTGCGAGTCGTAGAAGGCGGAGAGTGCCAATTTGGCATCCTCGACGTGGATGCGCAGCTCGCGACTGAGCAGACGGTAGGTGATGAGCTTCTGGTCGCGCTGCACCCACGACGACAAGAAGGTCGCAGCGTCTGTGGAGGCACCCATGGCTTGCTGCTTTCGATGCCTCGGTAGCGCGGTCCAAAGCTCTACACGACGCTTTTGCAAAGCTTGACGACGTCGATTCGGAGGATCTCAGGAGTCGCGTGTGCGAGTGCATCAAGAGGTCCAGGTGTGTGCCAAGGTTGGTGGGGTCGAGAAGGGTGTCACCGCCGTGGCCTTTTGCAAGGTGAAGCGTCGGGGTCCGCGCTGATTTACGCGTGTTCGACGCAGCGCGTCTGAACCAACACCTTGACCCTGGCTCGAAGTTTTGAAGTGTGAGATCTTGTTTCAACCACATTCCATCTTCAGAATTCCGTTTGGGTGGGTGCGGTCGATCACGCACTCTGCAGGTGCACAGCGCTCTGACTACTGCTGCTGCTGCTGCTGCTGCTCGTGCTCGT